GGGGGAAGGGGCCTTGCCTTGAGGGTCTGCAGCTTCTTGGGTTGTGCTTTGTAGAATGAAGACCATTCTCAGCAACCAGACCGTTGACATCCCCGAGCAAGGTACGTCAGCCTGCGTGTGCCTTCGTAAGGCGGTTTGTGGTGCCCGCCCCGCAGCCAGTTAACCTGCGCCTGCCTTTGCTTTCCAGTCAGCGTTTCACTGAAGGGCCGGACAGTCATTGTCAAGGGCCCCAGAGGAACCTTGCGAAGGGATTTTAACCACATCAATGTGGAGCTCTCTCTCTTGGGGAAGAAACACAAGAAGGTGAGTGCTGCAGCGGTCGTTTCTCTGCCCAGAGAGGGAGAGTAGCTTTACAGCCAGCTTGAAAACTTCTTGGTAGCATAGGACGGTGAACTGAGATCTTTAGCTACAGATAAGTTATTTACTTTTTTGTCTACTTTTGTGTTTTCTGAAAGAGGCTGGCCTCATGCAACCTTGAGACCTACCTCCTTGGGAACTGAGGATTTCTTGGAAGTCCTGTAATGGAGTGAATTTGTTGGTTGATTTTCTTCAGTAGTTACAGTCAGGCAGTTACTGGGAAGGGAGTAGATCCTTATACACTATGTTTTATAAACTGGCTAGTTTTAACTAGATAAAGCTAAATCTTTACATTTAGTTTCCAGAATTGGCAACTTACATCACGGGGGCAGATGTTTTCTAAATAAATGCATCCTGTTTTTGTGCTGCCATAAAGACTAGAAAAAGCTGATTTCAGCTAGTGTTTTGTTAAAACACTGGACCCCCACATGTGGTGTTTCATTAAGAAGTTGATAGGTAATACCTAGGAGAGTGACCTTGGAAGAACTTGTTCAGTGTTTAGCATTTGATAAAACATCTTTCAGCTTAAGATGTCAGAATGTCTATCCCAGCTTCTTTGAAGCCTTGTTAGGAATGAGCTAGGAAGAAAAAAAGTTTTTCTTCTGGGGGTTAGGACTTGAAAGACTTGAGTTAGGTGGGCCTTAATAGTCTTTCAAAGAAACCAAATACCTGTATGCTCTTGTCAGGAGGGCTTTTAAGTAGACTACCTCAACTTCTCCTTCTTAGTTTGTCACAAAAACGTTTTGTTTCTCGTTTTCAAGTGTAACTGAAAGCTTTATTAATTCTATTTTATTTTTTTTAACACAGCTACGTGTTGACAAGTGGTGGGGTAACAGAAAGGAGCTGGCAACAGTTCGCACAATTTGCAGCCATGTACAGAACATGATAAAGGGCGTTACGCTGGTGAGTTTTATTTTGAAATAGGATGACTTGTGTTGCTTTTGTTACTGACAACAACAGACAGTAAAAACTTCAGTGAGAGCTTTTCTAAGCATCCCAGATGCAGCTTTCTCTCTCTTTGTCTTGCATGTGTTGTCAAACAAGTTCTGCAGGTGGAAGAAAGCATGAACAATAATTTCAGGATGTCTCTTGGGCTCAGTGGCTTGCCCTTGCTGAGAAACTCTTTTCAATATATTTTGGTTTTAGAAATCCCCAGTAAGCTGTACGTGTCTGTTTTACCTTTTGGATGCGGTGTGCTTTCAATATGCGATGATGTCCTTTATCCTAGGGATTTCGCTACAAGATGAGGTCAGTGTACGCTCACTTTCCAATCAACGTAGTTATCCAGGATAATGGCTCGCTTGTGGAAATCCGAAACTTCTTGGGAGAGAAGTACATCCGCAGAGTGCGTATGAGGCCAGGTGAGCGTGTCTGGAGATGGACTTTACTGCTTCTAACCGGGGTTTTTAGACTGTTTTCTTCGGGGGCTGCCACTGGAGATGGTGAATGACTCTTGAAGCAGCATTTGCTTGTCTGAATTTGTCATCTTACAATACCTTTGCCATTGTTTAGATTTATTATTAATAATGCTTTTGTGATTTATTTTTAGTAATGAGAGCTAGCTAATAACTAGTTTAGAGCTAGGTGTTCTGAGAGAGTTACAAGAAGCCCAGTGTTTAATCATTGTGAGATCTCGACGGTGTTTACAGTTGGTAAACTGAGGTGTTTAATTTTAGATTTGTGTTTCTGTTCTAAACACTGTATGTCAACTAGTTTCACACCACATCGTATTTTTGGTCTTTAAAGTGTTGTATTTTTAATTTCTTGATTGTCTAGGAGCACATATGATAAACTTCAAAATTACCATCTTGCCTGTTGGTTTTGCATCTTGCGTACTTGGAGTTTTAGCACGATGTCTAACAGAGTAGGCAGGCATGCGATGGAGCTTGCTAAACTTCCGAAAGGAGGAGACAAAACATGTCATAAACAGTTACCTTAAGACTGTAGGGGAGACTTTGCATATCCATTTTTTTGATAGTTCCCCTCGTGGTGAAGGTACCGGTAGGGATATTTAGCGTGACTGATAGTATTTTGGGGTGGCTTCAGGTGGAAGCATCAGACTTGTCCAGAAACACTGGTAGATACAGTGCAGAGTTACTTACGGTGGCTTTGGCTTCGATTTAATGTGGGATATTAAGGGTGGGCTTGATTATTGTATTGGATTTTTTTAAGTTGGTATTTACTTCAAAGATAGTAAAGTGCCGGCTTAAAAGCCTATGTCTGTTGATTAAATAGATCAAACTATGACCACTTGCTTGTGTTATTCTACTTGCACACTAAAGTTTCCTGTTAGACTCTTGTCCTAGTGTTTACTCCTCGTGAGTATTTGTACTGTTGCTAGTATAAACATGGTGCTTGACATGTCGGGGCAGGGGTTTTATTTTTTCTTAATGACTTTTGATTGGGTGGCTCCAGGTTTGTCTTAATGAACATAGGAATGTGGAAAATGGCACCACCTAGCTGACAAAGCCATGCTGGCAAAATCTCTGGCTTGCCATGTGGTCACATTTAAGTAGGAATATCACTTGGTTGCTTTCAGTCTAGAGCATGACTTGCACTAATCTTTGTATTCTGGAACTGTGGGAAGGAGGACAATCCTGGAAGGGATTTGGGGGACCCTTTTTAACAAAGTCATAGAAGCTAATTACTGCCTAGAATACTACTATCTAGATCTGTAAAGTGGGATGGGACATGAGTACTGTGTCTTTCATACTCTTAATGTCTTCACCAACAATGTATATTGTGCATTTTCCTCTCTGCAGGTGTTTCCTGTGCAGTATCTCAAGCCCAGAAAGATGAACTGATCCTTGAAGGGAATGACATTGAATTGGTCTCCAATTCAGGTTTGTGAAAGTAGATGCATGGGAAGATAAAAATGGCCATATTGTTGTATCTGCAGATGTCAGCTTAGCAAACTGTCTTTTCTTTCTCAAACCCTGAGGTAAATGACAGTTCAGTATTTCTTTTTCCTCTAGTCACCATAATTGTGATTGTAAGGCTTTTTCGAAGCTGAGAGCTGAGTTGTTCCTAGAAGTCCACAGAACCTTTTTTTTTTTTTTTTTTGAGTCAGTTTTGGCACCAAACTTTTCAGCTTTCCAGTCGTACGAGTGTGCAGTAATAAACTGCCACTGCCCCGAGTTGCCAAGCCAGGCTCAGCAAAATGCATTCACTTTTCATTAGAACTGACAGGATTTCAGGCTGGTAATTCCTTTTTTCTACAGGTGACAGTTTTATTCGTTAAGTTGAAATATTGGAGAGTAAACAAAAGCTATGAGTTGGCTTGGACCTCTTGCTTCATGTTAATGGTCTTGTTTTGTCTGCAGCTGCCTTGATCCAGCAAGCCACTACGGTCAAGAACAAGGATATCAGGAAATTCTTGGATGGTATCTATGTCTCCGAGAAAGGAACAGTACAGCAGGCAGATGAGTAAAACTCTTAATAGGTTGGTATCATCTTAACGCAGGCTGTACATCTTCCATGTAGAGGTGGTTACTTGATCTGGGGACTTGACGAGGTTTGTCTACTTCAACAAGGCTGTGGTCAAGCAGCTTCCCAACAGGGGTGCGGTTGTGTTTGTAAAAGGCACTGTAAGAGATACCATAAAACTGAAATTTTGCTAGGTCTCTTGACAGCAACTTCCCATCTCTCATCAACTTGGTATTATGCTACTGTATGGAGAAATACCTAACTCTGATCTGCGCCGTATTCCATGCTGTGAATGCTAGTTACGGGGGTGGCTGAGAATTTAAAACCAGCTGACGTAGCATGACGCACTGGTTTACAGCTACTTACAGAGAAGACTTTACCTTAGAGCCATGTTCCTCCTCGTTGGACACTGACTTCACTAAAAAAGTGGTCAGCCCCTAATTTATATATAAAGGTCTTCTGTGTAGTTTGTGTGCAAGCGCTTGTAAACAAAGGTCAGTTCAACAAGGATGACTATTTCCGTTGTGTATGTACATTTGTTACTGAAGTTGAGTACGAGGATTTGGGGCTAATTTTAAGAGTTTTAACTGCTGAAGGAATTTGATGCATTTCAGCTATGTCTGGTTCCCCGCGTGGTACGGAACACTTGCGCGGGATGAGACAGGCTGACTTGCAAATAAAATGTGCACGTTGTCTGGTTTCTGAACCTAAGCTTGAGACAGAGGATGCAGATTAAGTGAGTTTCGTAAACAACATTTTTTTATCATCAGCCATGAGGTACCAGACACTTTAAAGCTACTGAAAAAGTGATTTTTAGTGCTGTTCTGAGTTCCTTGGGAGATGGAACAACTTGCTACCTGCTTGTTAAACAGTCATGAGCTATTGTGTTTGAAGGCATCTTTAATCTTGTCTAAATTAAGCAAATTCTTTGAGGTATTAATGTCTATCTTGCAGTAAAACTATCAGATAAATTAACTTGTCATATGTCTATAAACTTTTTAATTTCACATTTGCAGTGCTAAAACCTTTCTAAAAGCTCTTCACTTCTTATTTACAGTTGTCTGGACCCTGAAACAAACCACCGTGAGACATTATGTGGGCAAGTACCAGCTTTGAAGAATCTGGTACAAAACCCAAGCACCCTAAAAGATTTAATAAAATAAAATCTATTTCATATCTTGGCCTCTTTTTTTTTTAAGAACTAAATGGTGATCGCGTGAACCTGTTCAAGATCCTTGGCTGTTGGAAAAGCAGATTGTCATGGGGTAATGCATGATAATGTTAGCACGGTGTACACCTTGCTTAGCTGTCTCTTGAGAACATTCAGACTGGAGTCTGATGGTTGGGAAACCTCATGCTGGTGGAGCGTGGACCCAGCATGTAAAGCCATGACGTGCTAGTTTTAAATCGCGGCATGAAGAAATAGCCATAGCCTTGTTCTTGCAGAAAGGAAACTAGCATTCTTTCACATCGTTTCAGAACCTCAGGCTGCAAAACCTGATGTCTGTCTATGGTTCTGGAGGGGAATTCAGACTTGTGATGACAGAATCTGAAGTAGATAACAAAATTGGAATCAGTAGAACCAGGTTTGTAAGACGATTGAAACAAAATACAGAGAGAGAGAGGTACTAGTCTGAAAATACAGCGCTTTAAGCTAGGTTGTTCAATTAAGAGAACCAAGGACAGAGTTCAGGCAGAGCTTACTGCTGCGTTCACCGACCGTGGTTTGTGTCACCTGGGGATACAGCTCTGTTTTTTTCTTGGTTGCTAATCCTGCCATGTAGCAAAGCAACATGTCTAGTTGGGACTTTGTGCTGTTCCTGTGCTGTGGTAAAATCCCTGTTGTCACTTGTTAACATTCAACTTTGAAGAAATATTTACGGAAAATACTGGGATAGTGCAGAAACACACTTGGCAAGAAGTGGCTAAGGCTTAATATTGCGGAAAGCGTCTATCCATACCTAAGAAATTCAGAAAATTGCCCC